TTTATGTAAGGAATATTGTTTGCCTATTAGGAGAGAAACCAACCCTCTCGAATTGGCTGGTTGGTTTTGTAAGCCTTCGGTCGTTTATGCTTTTGGAATATCTAGAATAGTGAGGACAATACCTCACAGATTTCAGATATGCCGATTCGAGAACCCGGGATCTGGTTGGGGCTCAAGGGATTTAACTGAAAGAATCCACTTTGTCCTGTGCTTTTGGCTCTTCTGATTGCTTCAGAGAAGAAAAGCAATCTACTTCATTACAGCTAAGATTCAACATCTGGAAAAAAAAAGTAAAAAGAAAACACATGAAGAAGTTGATCCAACAACAGTGTGATTATAAATTTTAAATCTTTGGAAACCATAATGAACATGATTATTCATTCATTGAAGAGCCAAACAAGGCCATCAAAATTTGGGGGGAAATAGCAAGCGTTCTTTACAAGAATTTAAAATCCCAAATTTTCAGAAAGATTTGGGGACAAATGAGAAAGTTGTTCATAAATTGCTGTTTTACCAAAAGTGAAAGGAAGAAAAACTGACATCATCTGCAGATCTTTTTATACAATGCAGAAAAACATAAAATTCAGAGGAATTAAATCTGCTATCTGAAATGCATTTTCAGAAGAACAGGATCAACTTTACATGAACCCTCCTGTACATCTTTTTCCAGCAAGGCATAATGAATTTACAAATAGCTCTCTTCTTTTATCTTCCAAAAGATTGTCAAAGGGGTAAAATTGACTTGCGGCGATCAGCCCTCAGCGTCGATGTTTTCATCATCGGAAGGCATCTCTCGAGTCTCCGAGAGTGACAGTCGCCTGGGCTTTGCAGATCCTGCTTCAACTAGCCCTTCAGATGACAAGTTCAGAGCAGTTGTTCCTGAAGACGTCCCGAACAAATGCTGAACCGGGGCGTTGGCCGATGACGCTGCTGAGAGATTGTATGCAAAGATTCCCATAGGGTGATCAAACTTGCAGCTCGGACCAAACTTACAGATCCCATAACGGGAATAAAAGATGCACAAAGGTTCTCCCTGATTTTGGAAAAGAAAAACATCTTGATATCAAAACCTTACCTCCTCATGTTAAGAAATCAAGTGTGAAAATTTAAATCTAAGAATCCAACATGATATTTTCCCAAACAATAGCAGATGCAACACAATAGAAAAACTAGCATGCAAAAGGAGATGCCAAAAGTCTAAGTTTCAATTGTGCAGTGAAAAGTTTAGGAACCTACTAGAATTAGACACAAACTTAAAAGAAATGGAAAAGTTATGAAACTATTTAATCAGCCATATAGTGAACTAATGCAGCTCCTAAACAACCATCATAAACACCACTACCAAATCTGCAAGAACCAAGCAATTTGATTTCCTCAGAAGCACAATATGTGATTGAAGCATGATTCAAGCAATTTGATTTCCTCAGAAGCACAATATGTGATTGAAGCATGATTCACACGTCGCTTAGGAAAAATTAGAACACAAAAATTAGCCATTTCATCACAACTCACCTGACGTAATGGCAGGCCTATTGGACTCAAGACGCAATCTGGAGCAGGAATTACTCTCTCTCTAGGATGATGAAACCGACAAACAGCCCCGAACTTGCAATCTCCAGTCTTCATGTAAAATTGACATTCAGGCTGGCCGGGCCTCTCAGGAAATACATTCTCCCTCTGCAATGCCAAAACCCCAAAAGGGACAGTTAGAACATATCAGAGAAGAGACTGCTAAAGATCCTACATCAACTCAGTCACTCTGGTGTTAAGCTTCATAAATCCGACTATGCCCCACCGTTTGTTGTGGACTTTCTGAAGATGAAACAGATCCTAGTTGATCCTGTTAAAATCACCATTTCATAAGTTACTTGGCAGTGAACTGAACCAAGAATTTAAAAAGAGAAAAAAAGGTTTGTAGGGCAAAAGAAGCAATCTAAACATGCCAAGTAGTGCATAAACAGTATAGCATATATAAGTATAAAATACTGAACAATTTATCCTGCTTCAGCAACAACCGATATATCTTAATAATTAATCAGAAGATAACATTTTGATAAAACCTCTACATGAAAGAGAATGACCAAGAAAGCTACTAAAATATAATATCATACTGCCAAGAAGATTAACCACGAGTCCTACCTCCAAATTCAGAACTGAAAAGACTAAACCCTCTGGAATGTGTCAATTTGCATTCTATTTAACATTGCTTCTAGACTGATTTTAAGCAAATTTCTGTTCATAATATTAAATAACCTGTCTGATAAAATATTAAAATCTGATGAATTAACTATTTATAACATTTTCCTCGAATTGATTTCGAGACCACATAATTGCTGTTTCTCCAATATAAATTTATAGACAACCATTTTCTTCACTTATTAGACCACACAACATTGTCCTTCGTCTTGTCCTTTTATACTTTATATGGCTATGTTGGTTGGCTCTTTCCTTAGATGAGAATTGTTGATACATTTATAAGAAAAAAAGATTTCTAGATAACCCACTTTTTTCACTCATTAGATCATAAAATATATAAAAATTAGAGCAATAGCTTCATTTTATAAATATTTAGAAATGTGTATACTGATAAAAGTAATTACAAATGTAACATTTTTAGAAATTAGTTGCAACTATAAATTTTTTAAAAAGTTAATTAACCACGGTTTGACTTTGATAATGCTAATAAATAGATCCAGATGTCTACAATCTACAACACATGACGAATTAGGCAAATCTAGAAAGGATCTAACATTTACAAGTACTATCTAGAGATACTAATATTTTAGACTCCTACTAATGTGATAATTTATATTCTCAACTTAAATTTGTCTTGATTGGCCTTTATGAATAGGCATTCAGCTACTAGCTTCATTAGTTTTGGACTATAGAAAATCTATTTGCATTGGAAATGCTAATATTTCCTGGCCCGAATGGTTTCTCTATGGCATTCTTTCAGGATAACTGGGATGGAGTTAAGGAGGACTTGATGAAAGTGTTTCGGGAGTTCCATGAAAGAGGGGTGATTGATGCTTCTACGAATGAAACGTATGTGTATCTCATTCCGAAGAAGGTTAATGCAGTTAAAGTCAAAGAGTTTAGACCCATCAGTCTGGTTACAAGCCTTTATAAAATAATTGCCAAGACCCTCGCTGACAGGATTAGAAAGATTATGCTGACTACCATTTCAGAGAAGCAAGGGGCTTTTGTTGCAGGGAGACAAATTTTGGATTAGGTGTTGATTGCCAACGAGGCGATTTAGGATTATAGAAGGAGCAAAAAAGAGGGCGTGATTTTTAAGATTGACTTTGAAAAGGCCTATGATCATGTAGATTGGGATTTTTTGGATAAGGTTTTGTGGAAGAAAGGTTTTGGTTACCAATGGAGAGGGTGGATTCGGAATTGCATTAGGTCGGTGAATTTCTCCATTTTGGTGAATGGGAGACCTAGGGGGAAAATCCTAGCCTCGAGAGGCCTCAAGCAAGGCGATCCTTTGTCCCCTTTCCTATTTATTCTGGTGGTCAATATCCCGAGTAGACTAATCTCTGTTGGAGTGGAGAAAGGGGCTTTGGAAGCTTTTGAAGTGGGTAGGGAGAAAATTCGTCTCTCTCACCTTCAGTTTGCTGATGATACCATCCTTTTCTGTTCCAACAATCCTAATGCGTTTAAAAATCTTAATTGCCTTATCAATTTCTTCGAAGCCATTTCGAGTTTGAAGATTAATAGGAGCAAGAGTTCGTTATTGGGAATTAATTGTGAGGATGTTAAGATCAGTGGGTGGGCGACTCTCGTAGGGTGTGAAGTTGGTAAGTTTCCGACCACTTATCTTGGTCTTCCGTTAGGTCAGAATCCAAAGTCTGCTATCTTTTGGGCCCCGGTGCTGGAAAAGTTTCAGAAGCGCCTCTCTACTTGGAAGAAGACTTTTTTCTCTGAAGGAGGGAGACTCACTTTAATTCAATCTGTTCTCAGAGGCATTCCGAACTACTTTTTGTCCCTCTTCAGAATCCCAGTGAAGAGAAATTAATGAGAGATTTTCTTTGGGAAGGTGTGGAGGAGGGGGGTGGGGCTCATCTTGTTAACTGGAAAAAGGTGTCTAAGCCTCTGGAGGAGGGAGGTCTGGGCATTGGGAACTTGAAGATTAGGAACGAGGCTTTCCTGGCTAAATGGTTATGGCGGTTCTTCCACAAACCTAATGCCTTGTGGCGAAAGATTATAGTGAGTAAGTATGGGCTTCATCCGTTTGATTGGGTACAGGCAGGTGAGGCTAGAGTAAGCAAATACAATCCCTGGAAGGCTATTGCTTTGGGTTTCCCTTTTTTCTCTCTTTCTTTACGTGTCTCTGTGGGGGAGGTCTTAATACGTACTTCTGGGAGGATACTTGGATAGGCAACAAACCATCATGTCTTGCTTTCCCTCGGATCTACTTTCTATCCGATAAGAAACTCCCTTTAGTGACCGAGGTTTTAAGTTTTGGAGAAGAGGGTTTGTCCATCTCTTTGGGACTCCCCCGTTCCTTGACTGATCGGGAATCGTCAGAGGTTTTTGATTTACTGGATCAGTTGTCTATTTGTTGGGAGGGAAGATGTGAGGGTGTGGACTCCCAATCCTTCGAAAGGTTCTTCTTATAGCTCTTTTTTCCATGTCCTAAACTCCTCGTCGTCCTCTTCTTCTTCTCTGTCCCTGTTGACCCCTTGGTTCACACCTCGCTTTAGAAGATTAAAATTCCAAAGAAGATTAAGTTCTTTGGGTGGCAAGTCTTACTTGGAAAAGTTAATACCTTGAATCGGATCCAGAGGGTGTCCTCCTCCCTTTGTTTGGGTCGCAGTGGTGTGTTCTGTGTAGATATGCTTCGGAGGATCTTGATCATTTGTTGTGGTCTTATCAGTTCGCGCAGGAGCTATGACTTCGTTTCTTTAGATGTTTTGGGATTGTTTGGGCCCGTTCTAGAGATTTTAGGGCGACAAAGGAGGAAGTTTTGTTATTCCCCCCGTTTCGAGACAAAGGGCGTTTTCTTTGGCAAGCGTGTTTTCTGGCTACTCTATAGGGTATTTGGCAGGAGAGAAACAATAGAATATTTAGGGGAATGGAGAGATCTGTGGATTACATGTGGGATCTTATTAGATTTAACACTTCTCTATGGGGATCGGTCACTGAGGTTTTTTGTAATTATCAGTTAGGAGTCATTCTTTTGGATTGGAGCCCGTTTCTTTAGGGGTTTCCTTTTGCTGGGCTGTTTTTTTGTATGCCCACTTTTTGTAGTCTT